AGTAGTAGTAGTAGTAGAGAGAGAGAGAGAGAGAGAGAGAGAGAGAGAGAGAGAGAGAGAGAGAGAAGAGAGAGAGAGAGAGAGAGAGAGAGAGAGAGAGAAATATAGAGTTTCGACAATCACGCGCGATTATATCGTAACATTTTCTCAAAAATAATAGTCGAATCGAAGTCGCGATTTTCATCGGTCGGAACACACGCAGAAGAGCTATCTAATCTGATCTGACTTTTGTGGTTACGGACAGAAATAATCAGGTTGTCCATTCTTTCTCGAAGGCCCGTATTCTTTGCACAGAGAACAAACAGAGAAGTGAGTAAAGAACCGCGCGGAGAGAATGAATGAGGATTTTATAAACACCGGGGAGCTGGAGCCAGAGTTTCGCCCCGAGTTTATTATACACCTGGAACAATTTCAGAATTTCGGGAGGGGAAAGAAGGAAGAGAGAGATTAGTGGTGAACGATGAGACTCACCATCCGTGGACGGGATGGATCGAGACGGGGGGGAGGAGGAGGAGGAGGAGGAGGAGGAAAAGAGATGATCTTCGGAAGAAGATTGTCGAGTCTGAAAGAAACGTATCTGAATTATATACAAAGAGGAGAGATGTCGTTCGTTCTCGTTTCGAATCGCGAATTCATCGTCGGAGAAAGATCTAATAATAATAATGATAATAATAATAGTAGTAGTAGTAGTAGTAATAATAATAATAATAATAGTAACAATAATAATAATCGTATAACAATTAATAGAAATTCGAAAAAAAAAGAAGAAGAAGAAGAAGAAAAAGGAATCGATATTAACAAGAAGATAACAAAAAGAGTCTAGAACTCGATGCAACGATGCATGGAAATGTGCTTGTACGTTCTATTAAAAAAGAAAAAAAAAAAAAAGGTGGATGGAGAGAGAAGTGGTGGTGGTCTAGCATGCCTAGGAGGGAAGAAGAATAGGGAGGGGAGGGGCCGAATCGCAGGTGAATTAAAATGAGACTGATTTTGGGAGGCGAGCACGAGAATCTTGTGGATCTTCCGCCTGATCTCGTATCGTTTCTTCAGAAACATTTTAATTGTCACGCTAAAATACGGGCCTCGTATTGAAAAGAGAGAAAGCATTACTCCAGATTTTTATCCGAAAATTATATTCATATGTTTCACAAATTATTTTTACGCTTTCTCTTACTTTTCGTATATATATATATATACATAAATACATACGTATATATATATATATTACTTTTTTCTTCTTTTTAATTTTCTTCTATTTCTTGCTCGACTCGATCGAATGTTGAGCATGCATAATAAAAAAATTACACGAGAGGAGAGAGATAGAGAGAGAGAGAGAGAGAGAGAGAGTGCAGGACCCGCGGTCCCTTATTATATATACATACGAATAGAAGGAAGGAAGAGATCGAGAGAATTGGGAAAAATAACAAGATTTGGGAGTGCTTACTGCGTGTGTTCACTAACCTTTCACGCACGTTGTTGGCCTGGCGACGTTCCTTTTCGCGCACCGCTTTGGTGCTGGGATCGTCGCAGTCTTCGTCAGCGCTCGAACAACGGTTGTTTGAATACAATCGATTAGTTAAAGAATTGCCATCACATCGCGACGAACAACGAGAGAGAGAGAGAGAGAGAGTGACGATACGCGATCTCTCGTCGTGTCGATCATTCGTTCGGTCGTATCGAGAAAGAGAGAGAGAGAGAGAGAAAAGAAAAAAACTAAACTCTCAGCTTTGCCATCTCGAATCGTTCTCGTTTCTCCCCCCCCTCCTTGATTCGAATCGCGAGAATGAACCCGTAAAATCGTCGCGATCGAATTCGACGATTCGACAATGGCAAGACTGCGCGCTCGGATCGGAAGGGATTCGCTCAACGACTTTCGGTTCACTACTGTCGATCGGCCACCATCGTTGCGCCTTAACCCCGCCTTAAGGGACAAGTATATATACAAATACACATCACAATATATACTTACTATCTACGCGATCTCTTCGTCCCTTTCCCCTGGGACGTAGAATTCACCGTAGCCGCGCCGATCACCCCCGCCGCCGCCAGCTCGCTGCTCGAAGGTTTCGTCTCGCCACCGCTGCTGTCCGGTGGATCCTTTCTCTTCTCTAAAGACACGTATTCTGCTCATTATTAATACGTCGTTTCCTCGTCTCCATTCGTAAAGCATGACCTACTGTGTGTGTATAGTGCGCGAGAGTGAACGAGTTCTTGCTCGTGGAACGTGGTGAAAGAAATCGTCGGGGGACGATCATTGAACGAATGAAATTTTCGAGCGAAAAGTCGAATGGATCGTCGACGAGCCGTGACAATTATGGTGGGGAGGGGAGAGGGGAAAAATATCAGAGCTCACCCGGAAGAACGGCGACCTTCGCCGTACACGGAGCGACAGCCTCGAGTTCTCGATATTATCCTCGAGCTTTGGGCAAGCTGGTTAGTCACGAAACCGTGAAAAGTGTCCAATTACGAGCAGGAAGCGATTTACGGTGCACGCTCGATACTGATTCAACCATCTCCTTAAACGCTCCGTTGACAATTCGCCGCCGCATTATTTCGCCAATGCATTAACTCGCCCGCGTCTCTACCACCAAAGTCACCGCGTGAATCGCGCGTTTAGATTGAATCACGAGCGCCGATTGTGTGCAAAAGTCCACGATTCCGTTTTTCTTCCTTTTTCTTTCTCTTCTTTTTTTTTTTTTCCCCGAACCCGATCGATGCTATCGGTGAAAGTGTATCGAGTCGATGGTTTCCTCTTTGAAAGAAGAAAGGAAAGAAGGAAGATCGAAGGAAATGATCTCCAAAATCCAAGAATGGAATAATTCCGATCAATTCCAAAAATGGTCGCCAGGGAAGAGGGGGAGAAAGAGAGGGAAGAGCACGTGGAAAACTCGTGCGTTCCATTAGTTAGGAGGATCGAAGAGGAGAAGAGGGATTGGAGAAGGTTCGAGTGGTAAAGAGGAACGTGACAGAAGAAACGGAAACAAAGAGCGAGCAACGCAAAGAGGGGGAGAAGAGAGAGAGAGAGAGAGAGTTGTTCGAGAATAATAAAGGCACGATCCAAGAGTAATAGTAATAGTAGTAGTGGTAGGAGCAGCAGCAGCAGCAGCAACTACTTTTGCGCGATTTATCTAATGCTTCCTTATCGGGCTCTAACTCCAACGTGGAACACCTGGGAACTCCTTCTCCTAGCTTTTTTTCCTCTCGCCGCTCATGGGAAAAAGTATTTATCCGATGATGCGACGCCGAGAATAGACCGCAACACCGACCGCCTATTGTCAAGGCTCGTCGTCGACGTTTATCCCTTATTTCTCGTCGGCATCCCCCGCTCATTCATCGTTCCACCAACAAGATTCGAACGAATCTTGGAAACTTACTGGCATTCGTCACGGGTAACCTTTCGATTTTGATGGAGCCGTCTGTGTCGGGGGTGGGCGTGAGGCCGGAGTAAGAGCCCTGAGGTTGCGTCACCGTCACCGCGGGATGAGGACTCGTCTGTGCGGGGGATCGAAACAAACGTTAGAAACGTAACAACCTTCGTCTCTCTAATCTAAGGAATGAAGGGAAATGTCTTACCAAGTGGTCCAGTTGAGGTGGCGACGTGTGCGAGTAAATCGAACCGTGTGGGCCAACGGGACCTAAATGAAGGCCCAATTGGCTCTCCGCGTGATTCCTCAACACGTTTATGGCGTCGTCCAATCGTTCCTCCATCCGCGTACCCTGTACCAACAGAATATCCGAAATTCCAACTCGATTACACGTCTGTCTCGTTCCGCTCACATATCCAAATTGTGCGGGGAGTCCAGAGATGCCCGGCGTCAACGACACGACTCCGTTCGTTCGCGAAATTCGAACAGGTAATAAGAGAGAAAGGGAAGAGAAAAATTAATGAAAATCTCGAGAAAGAAGAGATATCGTTGACGCTGGTACCAATGGCGATGGTGGTGGCGGTGGATCGTATCGATGTAACAACGTACAAGGCGATGGAAAAAGCGTGTGTGAGATGAGGCAGGATTTGTTTTTTTTTTTTTTTTTTTTTTTTTTTTTTTCCGTTCGGAAGTCGATGCGATGAAAATTGACGAAAGTGACAGAAATTCTCTCGGGTCGACGCGAGATTAATTCTCTCACCGCGGTTTTGTTTTTTTTTTTTTTTTTTCCCCGTTTCGAACGAGACGAAAGAAACAACGGTGCGAGAATTAACTTTTTGTTAAATCGTTGATATCGTTGCGAGTAAAAAATAAGTAAAAAAAAAAAATAAATAAAATATAAAAAAAAAAAATAAAAATAAAAAAGAAATTTTTGCGTATATCACACAGCGACGTCTCGCCGGCACAAGACGACGGTCGATATCCGATATCGTGTGAATTTTCATGCACAAAAATCGTGTTACGACGAATAATGATACATGGGTGAGGAGGATCGGAAAGAAGAACAAACGAGAGAATGGGGCGGGGGGCGGGGGAAGGGAAGAGAGAAGAAGAAGAAGAAAAAAAAAAACTAAAAAATCGGCAATCCTCACCTCGGCATGGTCGCGAAGGAAGCCGATGGCATCGTCTAGCCTCTGCTGTTCAGGCGCCGGCTTCACACACAACACCAACGCAACAACAAAACCAAAAAAAAAAAAGAGAACAACCAAGTCAACACAACGTTCACAACAAACAAGGGGTAAAGAAGAAGAGAGAAAAAAAAGAGAAAGAAAAGAAAAAAAAAAATAATACGAAAAAAAGAAAGAAATAAATAAAACGTAAAACGACGATGAAACGAGGCATCGTCACCGAGTAATAATAACTGAAACAGGGGGAGGATGAGCAATTAAAAAAAAAAAAATAAAATAAGTTTGCTGGTAAGCTGGAGACGAGACGAATCGTGTCGAGTGCATGCTACTTTGTGCGAATTCCAAGTGCAATCGATGATGGGCAAAGAGTCGAAACGACGATTAAAGAGAAAGAAAAAAAAAAAAAAAAAAAAAAGAAATCCTTCGTTGTTTCACGTTAACAACAACAACAAGAACAACAATAATAATAATAGTAATGATAATAATAATAATAATAATAATAACAATAAATCATTCCGATCCTCCCCCAGAAATAAAAGTGCCTCAGTGCGTGTAACAACGGCAATCTCTCAACGAGTCACCATAGTGCAGACGATAAAATATATTATCGTAAGAGAAGTGAACGAGCACGAGAGGTTTCTGTTACGAACGTCCTTGACCTGTTTCTAAAGCGCACCGAAACGGTGATGAAGCGTGTCTGTCTGCGTTCAGAGATGCACCCGTCACTTTCCAACGAGAGATCCCAACATCGATAGTTGATAAATCTAGTAGTTCGCGAATAAACGCGGCCGTTTTCGAAGGGAAAAAATTAATTCTGATCGTCTCTCTCTCTCTCTCTCTCTCTCTCTCGTGGTGGTCGGTCGGTCGTATAATAATAATAATAATAATAATAATAATAATAATAATAAT